TTGACATGCATGAACAGGATTTCTAGAAAAAGCTTAAGGAAGAGTTTTATATCTGTTTATTATTGCAATCCAGAATTTTGTTTAAACAAACAGGAAAGAGGACATATAAGACTGAACAAAAAGCTTTCAATTTTTTCCGGTCCTTTGATTTATTATAATTATTAGACTTTGGATAGGATTATACATAACTCTTATGTTTATTAACTTTTGATAGGATTTTAAATAACTCTTATGTTTATTAACTTTGGATAGGTTTATAAATAACTCTTTATGTTTATTAGACTTTGGATGGGATTATAGATAACTCTTATGTTTATTAACTGTATAACACTTAAAATTGTTTGTCCCACACTTGATTTTTATACGACCGCAAAAAAATTTTGTGGTCGTATATTGGTATGACGTTGTCGTCGTCGTCGTCGTCGTCGTCGTCCGGCGTCGTCGTCCGAATACACATTGGTTTTCGCACTCTAACTTTAGTTTAAGTGAATGGATCTCTCTGAAATTTTACCATAAGGTTCAATACCTCAAAAGGAAGGTGGGGATTGATTTTGGGGGTTATGGTACCAACAGTTAAGGAATTAGGGGCCAAAAAGGGGCCAAAAATAAGCATTTTTGTAACTTCCAGACATAACTTGTGTGTTAGTGTATGGATCTCTCTGACATTGTACCACAAGGTTCCATATCACAAAGGGAATGCTGGGATAGATTTTGGGGGTAATTGCCTCCAAATTTTAGGAATTAGGGGCCAAAAAGGGGCAAAAAACAAGCATTTTTCTAGTTTCATGACAATAACTTGTGTTCAAGTGTATGGATCTCTCTGACATTGTTCCACAAGGTTCCATATCTCAAAGGGAATGCTGGAATTGATTTCGGGGGTAATTGCCTCCAAATTTTAGGAATTAGGGGCCAAAAAGGGGCAAAAAACAAGCATTTTTCTAGTTTCATGACAATAACTTGTGTGTAAGTGTATGGATCTTTATGAAATTGTACTACAAGGTTCCATATCACAAAGGGAAAGCTGGAATTTATTTTGGGGGTAATTTCCCACAACGTTCAGGAATAAGGGGCCAAAAAGGGGCCAACAATAAGCATTTTTCTAGTTTCCAGACAATAACTTGTTCAAGTGTATGGATCTCTCTGAAATTGTACTGCAAGGTACCATACCACAAAGGAAAGGCTGGGATTGATTTTGGGGTTAAATCCCTAGAAATTTGAGGAATTAGGGGCCATAAAGGGGCAAAAAACAAGCATTTTTCTAGTTTCAGGACAATAACTTGTGTGCAAGTGTATGGATCTTTATCAAATTGTACTGCAAGGTTCCATATCACAAAGGGAAAGCTGGGTTTGAGTTTGGGGGTAATTGCCGTAAATGTTTAGGAATTTTGGGCCAAAAAGGGGCCAAAAAATAAGCATTTTTCTAGTTTCCAGACAATAACTTTTGTTCAAGTGTATTGATCTCCCTGAAATTGTACAGTAATCATACATGTGAACCTCCCGAAGGGAATACAATAATCCCGTTTTCAGGGGTCTCCTCCCGACCTCCCGTTGAAGACAAAAAAATCCTGTGTATGAAATATTTCATGAATGAAAAATTTCAGCCCAACATATCTGGTGTAACTGACATTACCTTAAGTTATATTTTACCTGTAAATCAATTAACATGATAATTATATGGCTTCACTTGTCACCTTGGGTGTCAAACATACTGGTAATCAACGATTTTTACATCAGGCTAACTGCCGTTGTGTAATAAAACTTTGTATATTTATAAATGAATGTTGGGTTACTTCCCTTGATTTATCCTGTTTTAAGTTACTTTCCTTTAAATAATGTAAATTTTTAAAAGAATATAAATAAAATATAAATTGAACAAATAATCATAAAAGGATGGTAATTAAATGATTTCAAATGTCTTAGGACAAATAAAAAAATAATAATTTGAAAATTATTTGAGGGTTCTATACTTCCTTTCAAGGCTTAAATTGAAATTTATATATTAACTATGACCCATAAATCCAGTTAGAATGTGTTACTTATCATGCATTAAAAATCTACTTGCATAAAGATTAAAATAAAAGATCTATTTGCAGATAGATAAGCAAATATTCTGATTGCAATGAATAATGGAAAAAAAGATATGACCTAAAAAATTTAAAGAACATACTTAAAAAGAAGAATGTTAGATTGAACAAGTTGAAAGTTTAAAAAGATAGAGAAAATTTATAAGTACAAGGGTACTATAAACATAATACATTCGGATGGAAAGTTGAAGAAAGCACACTTTAACAGACAATTTCTACAGCACACGGTTACATTTACGACAGAATTTATGTCGATTAAAAACCTCCTGATCTGAGTCCTAATCTCCTGACCAAAATTTCCCAAACTCCTGATCTTAGTTTCACAGTCCATCATATGTACTGCAAGGTACCATACCACAAAGGGAAGGCTGGGATTGTGTTTGAGGGTGATGAATCATAAGGGGGTTCAAAAAATTTTGGGGGGAGGGGGATTTTTTTTTCCTTTTTTTTCTTTGAAATTTTCCATTTTAAATTGGTTATTTCTGATTTATATATAAAAGCAAATAATAATGATATGGTTTGAATAGATAAATTAAAAATTTTTAAGTTCTTAGACCACATTCATTCTGTGTCAGAAACCTATGCTGTGTCAAATATTTAATTACAATCCAAATTCAGTGCTGTATCAAGCTTGAATGTTGTGTCCATACTTGCCCCAACTGTTCAGGGTTCGACCTCTGCGGTCGTATCAAGCTGCGCCCCAGCGAAGCATTTTATTCAATGTGTTTAAAAATACAATTTAGATATGAAAAGTGAAAATATGGAGAAAACACAAATAATACATACAGCAACCCAGCAACAAAATAACCGCAGGACATCTAGAGGTCAACATATGGTCTTTAAAATTAGAAATATGGCCAATTTATCAATGATACAACAATCAAACAACAAAAATCATGAATGGAGATTTAGAGGGCAACATATAGTCTTCAACAATATTATGCATGTTATAGACATGTGTCTAGACAATATGTCAAGCTCTAGAATTGTCCCAAGTCTTATAAAACTGAGAACAACAATATGATACATGTGATAGACTGGTGTCTATACAATATGTCAAGCCCTAAAATTGTCCCAAGTCTATAAAACTGAGAACAACAATGTTATACATGTGATAGACAGGTGTCTATACAATATGCCAAGCTCTAAAATTGTCCCAAGTCTAGAAAACTGAGAACAAATAAACAGAAAGAATTAAAGATTTGCCATCAACATCAAATGTTCCAAATTAAAAATACAACATAAAAATAGGACATAAAGATAGGACATAAGACAACCACTGATGAGGTTCTTGACATGTGACAGACACATGAGTGACATGAGTTTATTACTGTAATTTCTGTAAATTCATAGAATTATAGAGAGGTTTTGATTTATGCGAATAATTCAACTGGGTTAGTTTGCAATTAAAAACTTGCATTCTGAAATCTGATGCATCTATCTTTATGCAGACATTCCTGAAATCTTGCAAAATAAATGCATGCAAAAATTTCTGAATTTATAGTATTTGACATAATTTTATGAAATATCAAGATAACAATTAAAACCAATTTCCAGTGTCAAATGATAGCTCATTGTATGCTGATACTAAAAATATATGGTTTCTATTCAATTTTGTTTGAAATAAGTGATGTAATTTGTTACTTCTGATTGGCACTGCTTTCAAAAATATATGGTTCTATATACTTTTACATGAATTAAGTACAAAAAATACTACTTCCGGTTTACACAAGGTCACTTCCAGTTTGCTTTTTCAAGGTCATATGGCTTGCAACCTAATGCATAAAGTCCTATGGCTTTATAATGTAGAAATATGAATTTAAAGCAAAGGTCAAAATCTAGAACGTCAAATTTACCAATGACCTTGACCTTAATTTCAAGGTCATACAGTAAGGACCTCAAATCAAAAGACCCTAGGTCTCTACTATATATGGTTAATGAGTTATATCACCATACAGCTAGTTTTAAATATGAGAGGGGAGAAAACTCCCATTTTATGTCAACGTACCCGTTCAACCAAAAATTATGTGTTATGACATGTCGCATATAACAATTTAATACAAATATTTTGTTAATATCTTGTACAGCTTCTGATAATAAGAAATAAAAAGCCAAAATCAAAATTTAGAACATGACCTTGACCTCATTTTTCTTTTAGTGGACCAATGACCTCAAATCAAAACACCCTAGGTCTCTATCACTTATGGTTCAAAAGTTACAAATACATATCACTAATTTCAAAAACATAAGGGGGAATAACTCTCATATGGAGTATTTGTAACGCTGGTCAAAATTAAATGTAACATCCTGAGGATATAACGAGAAATTTGGTAAAATAAATTTGTCGGTTTCTTCTTAGGTTGTGAAGAAGAAGAAATAACAAGAAAAACAGTGTTCGTGGAGATAACTCTTACATGGAAAAGTATTCGGTTAAGCGGTGTCAGTTTCAAAAGCGTATAAACTGTTCAATATCATATACCAAATATCTTAGTGATTTCTTGAGAAACAACCAAACAGCGAAAGAAAAAATAAAGACAAAAGAAAAGAAAAAAAGAAAAAATAATAATATTCAGAACAAAAGCAATAGGCCTTTCCAGGAAAAGTTGAAAGACCTAATAAATTCATAAATTTTTGATGTGCATTTGTTATTGATGTTGAAGAATTGACAAAAATGTGAGATTGATTATTGCGATATCAGCAGTAGATTCCTTACATATAGTGTATGCATGTATGAGTATAAAAATGAATAAATGAGTAACAGCTGTGGTAGTCATGACAAATGATAACTCAGTCACTGACTATAATCTTTCTGAGTTACAATGTAGATCTCTACTTACATCTTGGTGTTTGATTTGTATGACAATGTTAAGACAGACTTATTTTGATAGTTATGATATCAATATTTTCTCATTTTAGGTACATGCCTATATCATTAGTCATTTGAAGAAAGAGATGCCCTCAATGTTTGGCAAGGACGCAAAAAAGAAAGACTTAATTAAAGGATTAAAAGAAATATATGATGTTCTACAGAGAGAACACCAGATTTCACCAGGAGATTTCCCAGATATAGAAAGAATGAAAGAAGTACTCCAGCATCAAGACTTCACAAAATTCCATGCATTGAAACCAAAGTTAATTGAAACGGTTGATAACATGCTATCTACAGATATAGCCAGGCTTATGCAAATGATTCCACATGAGCAAGAAAGTCAAGTAGAAGGACCAAATGTAAAAGGCGGGGCTTTTGACACAATGAATGAGAGTATGTTTGGTTATGGAAGGGGAGAAGGCATTGATGAAGGTCGTGGTGAACATGAATGGATCGTTGGTCAAGAGAAATATAAATATGATGAATCATTTGATAAACTTAATCCAATCAATGGAAAAATAACTGGTGCTGCAGCTAAGTCAGAAATGGTCAGGTCCAAGCTGCCAAACTCTATGTTAGGAAAAGTTTGGAAACTGTCAGACATTGATAAAGATGGTATGCTTGATGCTGATGAATGGGCATTAGCCAATCACCTGATCAAGATTAAATTAGATGGACATGAATTACCAAATACCTTACCAGATCATTTGATCCCTCCATCCAAGAAAGATTTGTAATTTAAAGAATTGAAGTGGTTATATTAGTGAAAGGGCATACCGGTAGTCTTACCTGTCAAAGATTGTTATATTGTTATACACATTTAGATTGTTACTTCTTGGTGTACACCTAATACAAATATTATGTTCTAAGACACGTGATCACGCTGTACTTTAGTAGATGATCTGATCTCTACATACAAGAAACATTTTTTGTTTGATCTGATTTTAAGTCTTATTTTTGTTTTAAAAAAATTGAAACAGTAGAATTTCATTTGATCAACTATTTTTAGCTCACTTGGCCTACAGAGTCTATGAGAGCTTTTGCAATCATTTGGCTTCATAGTATGAAGGTCATGACAAACTTTTCAAGAGCCTTCTCTTCTGAAACCATGGGATCAACTGTGACCTTATTTTGTCTCCATCATTCTTACAAGGATAGTTTAATATTATAGTTATGTCCAGTGGCCCCAGGACAGACCAACATTAATGGCTAAAGAAAATAAAACATAATGGTTAATCAACGAAAGAACTTATTCAGAAAACTTTTTCAGTACCATGGGTCTAAATTTTATTTCAAGTTGAAGTATGAATTGAAAATGATCAACTGGTGAACATTTTAGCATATTTTTAGTAAGCAAGTGCATGGGATTACATTTCTGATTGTCCAATGACTATTTTTTAGGTACATTTGTAATTTGTCAAAAAATTTTATTATTTTTTTAAAATTGATAAATGTATCATTACATGGTGGATTACTATTGGACCAAATTATAGGGTCAGCTGTAATGGAAATAGTCATTAAATACATTTGTTCATGTATTCAAACTAAGGTATAACTGGAGGCAATATATTTCGGTTGGTGAGAAAATCATCATGTAATGATATTCATTATTTTCAAAGGCATTTGTATAGAAAGAATTATTAGAATAAGCAGATGAACTTTGAAATTTACCATTCTGTAAAATTTTACAGGTGAATTTGTCCTTAATTTCAGATAGATTTTGTTCCCTACAAATTGAAGTTGTTTCTGTTATTGTAAAGCTATCTTCAATTGATTTTCATTTTTTTTAATAATAATTAGGGATGTCAACGAGTACTCGAGTATCGCTCGGTAGTACCGAGTATCGATTACCAAAATGATACTCGACTAATCGGTTTCCTGTAATAATGTTGTTGCTTTCTTAAGCTAAAACAATAACAACAAATTTTTTTGAGAGCGCCTCCCGGGAAATTAAATATTAATCAAAATTAATAAAACTTAAAATTCGATTCGAATGTTTGTGTTTAATTGTCATTTAAAATTCCTCCAAAGAGAGGTAGGATATATGAACAAGAGCATGTTTCCAAGGCTTACACCTTTGACTGATCTTAATTATTCCTCCACTTCTCAACCGTAACTATATATTTTCTTCAGCAGGACTGTTAGTTACCTAACAAAGATGAGAAATAGCCTCGTCCCAGAAAAAGTATACAAGATGATATTTATAAATAAGAACAAATTCGTTGCACCCTGTGTTGACCCTCAGAAAAGGATTAAGTTCTAATCATCACCCCTTTGGTGATCATTAAATGTGTTTTTTACGATTACTGTTGTTTGAGTAATCATTTTTCTATAGATATTAATTAATTACATGATTAGATTATTGTCAGCTTACATAATCAGCTCATGTAGTAAATGAACTATTAATTATGATATAAAATTCCTTGGACTATTATCTAGTCCTAAGTAATAATGTTGAGGGTTTAACGTTTATAATGCAACAACCCACAATACATAAAATGTATATAATTTTGTGTTTCCATTTTGTAAATATAAAATGCTTGACCGAGCGAGTACTCGAGAATCGCTCAGTAAATCCTACGAGTACTCGATTAGTTTATCTTCACCGAGTTGACATCCCTAATAATAATACATCCTTTGTGTTAAAGAAATGCTTTATGTGATTAGCTGCAATAAACCACTTAACAAAGAAACCAATTGGTAAGATAAGTGCCTGATTTTCATACAAATTTAGCTTTTGTTTGAACATATTTTTTTAGGTATATTATTTGGTAATAAATTTGTTTATACATTGTAAATTTTGATTTTATTTTATGAATTCACTAATATAACTTATATGTACATGTGTTAACCGCAATCTATGCATGCTGTGTATATATAACAATCATTTTTTTTAATTGTCTGTAGAATGTTTACCATAACCAGAGGCGGATTTTGTAACTAAAGGCATTTTTGCCAATCAAGGTAGAAATGAAAGGGGATCAAGGATTAGGAATTTGGTCACAATTCCTGAAAACCATTACTTCATATTATAATTTGTGTTCTGTTTACTGACAGTAACTCTTACATTAGTTATAAAACAGTAATATCATTGAAATGCAGATTGTCAAGGGACTTACAATGTAAGTTTCTCCTATAGATAAGTTTTGATTGACACAATTTGAGCAAGAGTTACTTCCCTTTGGAGGTCGGTTCACAAATTCCTTCACAAATCAGCCAAATTTAACTTGTTAACTGCTAGATATAATTTTAATTTCTTTTAGCCTTGCTGGATTCATCATTTCGATCTAGGATCTTCTATTAGACTTTTTTGATCCACATGTTTCAATTTGGAAATCAACCAACCATCTAACCCTTAAAAATGGTGGCAAAGGGAAATAACTCAAACTCAAATTACCTCATATCGAAACCTATATTACTACTCTTTATTAATGCTTTAACATTCTGATGAGAAAGTTAATTGGGACATGTATTCCTAATACCCGATGTTGACTTGACCACAATTAATCTACAAACTGAGACGAAAAACATGAAATCATTGTATCAGATATATATTATTGTCAAACACCTAAAAATTGTGCCTTATCTTGTTTCTTCAAATTCATACTTGAGAGAAACATATGATAAGTTATACAACTTATTTATTTATTTTGAAAACTTTTTCCATGCTCTATGTGCAAACAGGGTGTAATGAAAGAAATTGTTTGTTAGAACTAGAAAAATGTCAGATGTTTAATGTAGTAACTTATATCTACTATTATTACCCAGATGTTATCTGATTTACAATATAATAAGCAGGATTTAAAATTGATGTACATTCTTCAGATAATTTATTAGTAGTATTGGGACATATTTACTTTATCTTTTATCAGATATATTTATTTATATTATAAACATATAAATATTTAAAGGTGTGTTATAATAAATGTTTCTGACTAGTAAAAATAGTTGGAAATATAGGAAAAAACTTGAAACAGAAATAATCAACTGATAAAAATGTAAATGTGCAAATTTTTAAGTTTATTTATCAAATATAAATTTCCGCTCTAAAAACTGGAGATGGCCTTTTTTGCATATACATGATTTCTTTTGGTAAGATAATTCAGTTGTGTAAGTATAGTTTTGTTCTGGTGAATAACTTAAGTTATGAATGTAATAATAAGATAATGTAATTGCTGATAAGACAATTATCCACCAAACATGGTTGCAACCAACAACAGGTCACTGTAAAGCCTGATGAGACAGTGGTGGATCCAGAACTTTTTACAAGTTTGTAATGGGGGGGGGGGGGGGGGGGGCACTGACTGCCATTAGAGGGGGCCCACTACAGTCATGCTTCAGTGATTCCCTATATAATCAACCAAATTTTTCCCACAAAAAGGGATATATTGCTATATTGATCAATGATCCGTGGATGTTTGTTTAATGTTGAGGATTTAGCTTTAATGCTAACTTTTTATGAGTTAAAAGTCATCTCTAAGGTGAACTGTAGACTTCTTGTAAAAAGGACATGTCTTGTTTTCAAGTTACACTGACCTTGACCTTGTGGCTGGGCGTCAACAATGCATAGTTTATGATTAAGTCAGTTTTAGGGGAACCACTAGTGGTGAGTTGATTAAGCAGTTGCACATTTCCATGGAGATGATTTGGCTTGACCCCAGCAGTCATGGTCTATTGACTTTGAAACTTTTGCTTAGTTTATAATATATTTTATGTTGTGTTTGTGATTTGGTCAGTGTTAGGGGAATTCCTTGTGGTAAATTAATGATATTTGGTTTGCAAATGTATGAGCATTAGCATGTGTCATTCCATGGAAATTATTTGGTCCCCTACCCTTCAATCATGGTTTGTACTAGCATTGGCAGTTTTCAGTTGGACATTATTTCGAGATTAATTAACCCTCCACCTTCAGTCAGGATATTGACTGACTTTGAATGTATTTATGCTCCATTTATGGGCATTAATTTTATTGGTCTGTGCGTCCGTTTCGCTCGTTCCTTCGTCCATCCGTTCGTCCGACTGACCCGCTTCAGGTTAAAATTTTTGGTCAAGGTAGTTTTTGATGAAGTTGAAGTCCAATCAATTTGAAACTGTTCCCTATGATATGATCTTAGATTCTTTCTAATTTTAATGCCAAATTAGAGTTTTGACCTTAATTTCACGGTCCACTGAACATAGAAAATGATAGTGCCAGTGGGGCATCCATGTACTATGGACACATTCTTGTTTGTTACTATATTAAAGTATTGCTATTTTTTTTCAACATTTGCATTATATTATCAAAATTACATTCAGATGTATTAAAGCAGTTCAAAATTGACACTGGCACTTGTTAAACAAAATATTAAATGGCAGCAACTAAGTAATTTATATTTGACACAGCAGGCATAAGTGTGATTAGTTAGTATTGTTCTAATTCAAAACTTCAAAATTTTTATGCCCCCGCGGTAGCGGTGGGGGCATTAAGTGGGGGCATTAAGTTTTACCCTTGTCCGTCTGTATGTACGTACGTCCATACGTCCCAAAATTGTTTTCCGTTCTCTAACTTGAGTTTGCCTCAACCAAATGTCAGGAAACTTATACACAATGTTTATTACCACAAAACACAGATCAAGTTTGAATTTTGGGGGCGTCCCTTTAACCGTTCTAGAGTTATGCCCTTTTATAAATGGATATTGCAAAATTTTTAGTTTCCGTTCTCTAACTTAAGTTCGTCTCAACCAAATGTTATGAATCTTATACACAATGCTTATTACCACAAAACACAGATCAAGTTTGAATTTTGGTGGTGTCACTTTAACCGTTCTAGAGTTATGCCCCTTTATAAATGGAAAAATTGCAAAATTTTTAGTTTCCGTTCTCTAACTTAAGTTTGCCTCAACCAAATGTTATGAAACTTATCCACAATGCTTATAACCACAAAACACAAATCAAGTTTGAATTTTGGTGGCTTCACTTTAAATTTATTTTTAATTTTGTACAATGAATTATATTGTTATAGATTATGAGCTTTTGTTTTACATTTCAATATATTTATTAAACAGTTACATTTTCACACATAACAAAATTTGTATAAAAAAATGATAGTAAATACGTATACTATTCAAAAGAATATAGATTTTTTGAAGTTGAATTAATACATATGCAATGCATATATTGATATCAAACAGATCTGAATTAAGTTGATTATAAAATGAAAAACCAGCTTATAAGTGTGAAATTTATCTACATGACATTTTTCCCATTTTATTCAAATCATTTTGTTGTTTGATTAATGTCTCTGTGTAACCTTGAGAGTGTGATTCAGTACTTTGATTTGTCTATTATATACATAAAATTTCACCATTAAAGTTGAATTAAAAGAAAATTATTTACATTTGATGCCATATTTTCACTACTGTAAAATGTATTATTGTTTATGTCAATATGTTGACTTACTGCACTATTAATATAATTTATAGACGTATCATTCATTTATAATTATACATTGCTTCTATCTTGTATTGCTTGAAAATGTTGATTGATTTGATTATTGAAGTTATATGGGTGTTCCAGGAAATAAGAAAAAAAAGGTTTCTATTGTAATTTAGCAAGTGTTATGTAATTTGATGCAAATTTTTGTTGTCTGTAATGGTATATGTGTTTCATCATTGTATGTCTGTAGAACAATGGTTTCTCACAAAACCTTTACAGTTGACTGATTCTTAAGAAATTTAACAACAAAGATTCAAGATTGATTTTAGGAATTGAGGCCTCACCCAGTTCTTTCAAAAATCTGTCAGTATTGGTGAACAACAGTGTTCTCACTAATTTGATGAACAGCATGCCTATTTTTCATTCTATATGATGCATTTTGGGTTTTTGTTATTATTGAAAGAAATTCCTTTCTGAAAAACAAACTTTTATTTTGAGCACACTTATAGACATGTCTTGTGCCCTGAAATAGTACAAGTTCATAAAGTCGACTCCACTCAGTTGCATAATTTGGTTATCTGCATAACTTTCTCTTGCATGGAACTATTTCCTATTCATTTAAATGTAAAAACAAAAATCTGGTTATTTGCATAGCCTGACATTTTTCTTCAAATACTCAGTTTTGCTCATTGTTGAAGGCCTATAGTTCATAACATCTACTTCATTTGGTCTATGGTGTATAGTTGTCACATTGACAATAATACCACATCTCCTTATTTCATATATATATTTCATTTAATTGCATAGCAAAAATGACATCTACATATATTTTTGTATGTTAGATTGATGTTTTACATGGTCCATTGATGTATCATGCTGCAGTCAACCTAGTCTTTTATTGTAACCTGGAACAGCTAATTATAATATAATACTCAATTGATCTAATGACCAAATGCATGGATATAAAGTGTTCTGTCTTTGATTTAAGATGATGAATTGTAAATATAATAGAAGTTAACAGTATTTATGAGTTATCTGCTAGATTTGATTGCATTTGGTAATTGTAAAATTTGTCTTACCAGAATGAATGGGATGAAGATTTTTATAGGCTTTACTTTTTTGGTGATGATGTTGTCAACATCTAATATTCCAATATTACTTCATGTAAGTCATCTGAAAGGATATAGTGAGACTTTGGTGTCTTCTGCCTGGTTTTCAAAATTTGCAGTCATGCCTCATTATTTAAATGATTTAAAATATTGATGCAGGTGAAAGAAGATATTATTTGAGCTGCCAAAAAAGAAATTCCAGTTCCTTCTAAAAATATACCTAGGCTAATATTTTTTTGACAGAAGTAAGTTTATTTTATAATTCAAAAATATATAAACTAAGAGTCTGGAGAGCTAATAGAGGTGAAACATTCATTGCAGTGAAATACAGGGTTCAACTTCAAAGTATTTAAAGAACATATATCTTTTATTTTTTACAAGTTTCCATTTGTGTACAATTACATGTTGAAAATAGATACGAAGGAGAAAATATGATAAAGCCAAAAAGAGAATGAGAAAGACTTGAAAAAATGATTTTTTATTACCTTTTTTTAATTTTTAACAAACTGACATTTTTTCTGGGGTTTTTTTTTTCTGTAATATCATAGTTATCGCTCGGATAACAATTTGTTGGAGCATTTCTTCAATACATATGAAACCAATACAAAATTCAAAACACAACAATACTGTATGCAGGGGAGAAAAGTTCTGCAGAACCCGCATTATTTTATAATCAATAAAATTACTACATTTTGTAGTAATGATCAGTAATGCCTTTAGTTATTGTCAAGTAATCTCCAAATTTTAAAAAAGGTTTACAATCATCAGTGTCTTGGATGAGATCATTTATCAGAAAAAATGCAAGACTGTTATTATTTTTTTGGTTTCATTACTTAGGTTTGTTTTTATTTTCAATAATTTTCTGGGGTAGTTTTAGGGGATAAACAACAGTTTTTGTCCTACCTTTTCTAACATTGAAATTTGTCTGATTTTGACAAGAATGGTATTTAGAAAATTAGTTTTAAAAGTATGTTTTATTATTAGAGGAAATTCATAACCACAGCTACTGAAACAATATGGTAGAATGCTTTGAATGTTATGTGTATTATTGTTAATGATATGAATAAACACTTTGAGTTTCATTATAATTTAAGTTGTTTTGGCTTAAATTTTAACACTCAGTTTGTTTTTAGGGTCATTGAAGGCCTGAAAGAATTGATAATTATATTCAATAGTTCAGGAAGTACATGTATGTAGAAAACTTTGAAAATGAACAATAATCTGCCACAATCTGAAAGCAACAGTGAAGTACATGTAGTATAGGCAACCCGATACACTGAGAGTCCCTTTATCATTGATATTTCGGCAATCATACAGAACAGACACAAGACGAAATTTTATGGAAGTATTGAACTACCAGTAAAGCCTAGTTCTGTATGTACTGAAA